TCCTTGATCATGGTTGTGAGATAAATTTGATGGCAGCACCCAGCGGAAAACGAGAGGCCGGCTATCAAACTCCAGAAAAACTCCGTAGGCAACGACAAACCGCTGCGCAAGACCGCAAGGCTAGACAAAAGCGACGACGATGAACCGTAGACTTCGAATGCAGCAATGGCGATGAGCAGCAGGCAAGCTGAGAAAGCCGAGTGTAAAGAGGTTATCCCAGGTCACGTATAACTAAGAGAGGTAGCCAAGCAATACCTGACCGTCGCGTTGCTGGACCATAGTGGCTCTTATGGACAGATGACCACCGATAGGTGGAAATCTGTAGAGAGGGAGCTGTTGAGTCTAATGATCAGCCGGATGCATGAAGATCCGGGCGAACCTTTGCCTTCATTTGACGGCGCAGGTTGGTTTAACGGGGTTAACCTCGTTAAATATAACGACAGCGCAACTAGTATGGCTGAAGGGAACGATTCCAAACCTCTTAAGGCTAGCTGACAACGTGCATCTAGAGATGAAGGACCGAGTTCTGATCCAAACGACTCCGAAGTCGAAGGTATGGATCCAGTATGGGGTGAAGCCAGAGGACGCCCTGCTCTTGTTGTAGGCACAAAACTCAAATATATCGACACGGTATTGGAAGGTAGCCAAGAGGCGGAAGGAAGCGTAAATCTGCGGTTAAAAAATCTTAACAATAAAGACGACAACGCAAACACGCTTGAAGAAGAGAAATTGAGAAAGATCTAGGTCTAGATATCTGGACTGACCTTAGATAGCGGAAGATGAAGCTAAAAATGGCGATGGGACCATGGAAACAGCGAGGGAGATGAGGAACGATAAATAAACCTGCATATTATGTTGGCTTCGAACGAACTCCAGGAGCCTAGGCTTGCGGCTGGCAAGAAGGTCTCTGGACTTAATTCACCGACATTCAGCTTATATTAAACTAAGGCCCTTATTATGAGTTGCATTCGATTTTCGATCTTCGCTGGTTATCGAAGGTGAAATTCGTGTTGTGAGCTATACCACCGTGTCGAAATTTTCGTTGAGTATCGAATTTTCTGTCGAACAGAGTTTTGCTTTCGATAGTTTAGTAAAGTGTTAGAAAATTGTGAAAAATTTGCTAATAGAACGTAAAACAATATTAACCAAAAACGCGATTTTAAAGCCATTGAGATGTCAGTAATATTTAAAAAAAAAGTTAATAACTTTTATTAAAAAAAATGTATGGCCAAATAAAGAATAATAATGGAAAGAAAACACCATCATTCTCAACTGTTTAAAATATGAGCAGAATCGGTATTACCAATCGCGAGAAAACAATTAAAATCTAAACAATTTCGAAAAATGTTAATAGCTATAACAAAATGAAAAAATAATTCGAATGTCGGAAAATTGTATTTTTCTTTTATCGTTATGAAGCATAAAAATATAATTGCACAGAAAAAGCTCGACCTTTGAAAAAATTGTGACCCACTTCACAAATTTTTACTCATATATCAATTTTTAATAAATATTGATGAATTCCTTTGTCACACTGCCAAAAAATCTGAAAGTCCGGTTAATAAACAATATAAATTCAAGGCCGTATTTAAGAAAAGTTGCCTTACTTCGACAATTTTTATACGATTGCAATAAATTTGCTATCAGTTTTTTTAAAGATAGATTTGGATAGTACTACTTATTTTGAAATTGTGGAAATTATCGATGGTCAAAATTTAAAAAGTCAAGAGAAATATATTTTTTTTACCCGATAAAAAATACCAACAAGCCAAGTCCGACAATAGATTATTATATACCATTTCAAAGGCCTACATATCCTCTTCCCAGACCATATTCGATCATTGAATCGAATCAAAAACAGTCATTCAAAAACTCATAAATCTACAAAATCGTATTTTCTGACCTAAATCGAGAGGTCGTGACCTCTAAATGATCTTTAAAAAAATTATAAAAACAGGCAGTAATATGTCTCATAAAACGAATAAAGTTTAGGGTAGGGTGTTGAAATTTCCAAAAAAAAGCATGTTCGAGGGGCACCCTAATGTACTCTGAGGGAAAAAATTCATAGTAAAAATTAATACTTTATATTAAATTATTGTTTAAAAAATGTTCGTGTTTAAAAATAATATTTTCATATAAAAAAAAGGTATGAAACCTTCGGGAAAAAGATAACCCGGGCCCTCTGCAACACCACGGGAATGTGGGCCAGTGCTAGACTTATAATAATATAATAATAGATTGGCGCTTACACATATGTTAGTGTTTGGCCGAGCTTCTCCTCCGACTTGTGGCGTGCGCCTTGATGTTGTCACACAAAGCGGAGGGACCTACAGTTTTACGCCGACTCCGAACGGCGATTGTATTTTTATGAGAAGCTGTTTTTCATGGCAGAAATACAGTCGGAGGTGTGCCATTGCCTGCCGAGGGACGACCGCTGTTAAGAAAAAACCTTTTTCTATATTTTTGGGATGTTGCTTTGACCAGGGCTTGAACCCAGGTGCTGATGTGTGAAAGCGCGCACTGCTTACCACTACACCACAGCGACCGACTGTGCTAGACTGCCCCTCAAGCAGCAGTGGACAGATGCCATCCACCTCGGTGGCCTTGTACCGTTCGAAACAGTCCAACGCCTACCGCACTGATTGCCGGCTTATAAAGCTTTTAGCCAGTTTCCAGTTCGATGGGGGATGGCCTGTACGCCCGGAACACCGCATCCCCGGAGATTGGAATGGCATCCGGGTGGTGGGCCGACAGCAGGGCGAGTTCACTTTTCTGCTCAGTTTCTGAAAAAGTCCCATTAGGAACTGGTCCCTGTTGTGGCTCTGGCTAAGGCTTTATGAGGCCTAGCAGCTGCAAGAGCCGATGCGATGTTCTCACAAAAGGTGCTAAAGCTGCTACGCTAAGCCTTTCTAATCAGTTTATTATATTTTTCCAGACTGACTGAGCACTCCTCCCACCACCCTGTGCGCTTTTCCCTACTGTGCGCACTTCTTTTCTAAGTACTGAGAGTTTCCGTGACCACCTGAGCCTTACCTTTTGGCCTTGTCACGGAACAGCTAGAAGTAAAGCCATCTAAAATAGAGCCGTTCCACTTGTTGATCCTGTCTTCTGACTGTTGTGCCTCTAACTTGGTCCAACCTATGTACTTCTTCGTATTTACCCGTCTGTTTTTCTGGGGTTTCTCATGGGATAACCTGTCCGAACTTCAGCTCTCAGTGCAAATCGGATAAGCCTATGATCCGACTGTGAGGACTCCACCACTGAGGGTCAGACGGCTGGCTAACCTGTTGCTGAGAGTGATGCCGAGTACTTCCTCTTTGACCGTAGTAGTGAATGTAGGTGCATTGCCCACATTGTGATTCCACAAGGTCTTCGCTAATTAACTATACATTCCAAAAGGCACTCACACCTACGATTTGTGCCCGAGCTGCCCCACGCAACGCAGCAAAGATTAGCAAGAAGTCGTCTTCTGCGACAGAATTCTAATATCTGCTGTACCTCAAGAGGTGGCACGTTGGCGTTGTCCCCCGGAAAGAAGGCTGCGGCCAGGACCACCTCCACCTTCAGAGTAGACTGGACTGTTGCTAGATCCGGTGTAAGAAACTCTATAAATAAATTCAAAATTCAAATGTCAGAAGTTAATATTATTCTTCAGCTCTACACACGCTCTGAGCCTCTCTCAGGAGAGGTCCCAAATTACCTTATTATTCTTATGGTTAAGGCCCCTGGAGGACGGTGGTTTGGGTGGTGTAAGCTGGCAGCTGCTTCGTTTTGATGTGCCCGTTGAAGTTGCTATTTTGTTGCCAATTGGCGGCGCGGGTCTGCTGCTGTTGCCCGTTTTTCTGCCTTTCGGCAGGTGCGGGTAGTTTACTGGTTGTTGTTAACCAACGTTTGCAGCTCTGTCGCCTCAGCGTTTGCGCTGTTGTTGTTGTTGTAGAAGCTACAACAACCCCGCCCAGGACGGTTGGTATCTCAGTCGTTGTCGTCAGCGTTTGCGCTCTTGTCGCTCGATTTCCTCTTGCTCAACCTCTTGCCTGACGTCCGCCATGGCGCGAGCTTCACTCGGCTTCTTTCCTTGCTGCAGGTACCGAAGATACCACTTGACACACGAACCACTAAGGCCAGCTCGCTGGTGGTCAGAAAGGGCCCCCGGTTAACCGGACGGGGGCCACGGATGCGGTCTGCACCTACGGATTCGTTTCTTGCTTTCTTGCATCTGCCACCCGGACTTATACGATGCTGATGAGGTCCGAATGGGGACCTGACTTCTCATTTTCTCTGGCGTGTTGCTGCTGTTTTTGCAGTTGTTTCCGATAGTCACTAGCGCTACGTTTGACTGCTGTTTTTGTTGATATAGTTGATGTTGTTTTGTTGTGTTCATCTTGTGTGTACGACTGGCTGCTCGAAGAGGCGAGCTCAGCAGTCAAATAAGTTGTAGGGTATCTCATCTGGTCCAGCGCGCCAACGCCTCATGTCATAGTAAGGCCACCGTTACTCCTCGATGCCCGGTGTCGATGAGGCGCCATTATAATTCAGCCGGCTCATTGCCTCCTGTCTGCAAACCGTCCCACGGGAACGGAGTCGCATCACACCCTGGATTCCCGATAGGTCATAAGAATTGTATAAAAAAATTCATTATAAGAGCGCTTAAAGCCGAGTTTTTGGAACCGACACTTTGGCGCAATAGTTAAATCAATTCGTATGCGATGAGTTGTGTCATTGCCGTGGAAGGGCTAATAGTTTCAATAACGTTGAAACGCTTAAAGTCAAGATTGTTCAGCATACTTGTAAGCGCAGTAATTATTGCATAGCCCTGCGATAAATTTTGTCGTTGGCGTGGAAATAGGGCCGTAATTGTATTGGTACATAAAAAAAATAAAATTGGTAAATTATTTTTCAAAGATTTCGATAGAAAAGTTGTGAGGCGAGTGGCAACCGTATACATAAGATAATGGAATAATTTCTGATTTATTTTGAAGACCTTTAATTTGTTTGTACAGTACTGGTGCGAAATAATGCAACTCTGCTCAAAACAAAGTTTGCAGCAACACTAACGAACGACGATAAACGACGAATAGAGAACGAAGCACAGAACGAGGAAATTTCACACATCCGAGGAAAAAGGGAAAATTAAACAATAGGAAGTTTTGTAAGTGCATAAACTGATCAAAATATTAGAATATAATAAGTTTTACATCAGTCGAAACATATACAATTAAAAAAACATATAGTGCTGAAGTGCAAGGATCATTTGAAAATTTGATGGGAAGTGAACTCGCTCTGTGCAACTGAGGTTTTAGGCAGCGGCGGCCGAGTGAAAGTGTCGCGGAAATTCTGGGCTTCGTCTGCCCGCCCTGCTTTGCGCTGTTTTTATGCGCTTTTAACGGCCTCTGCTACTGAACACAAATTTGCAGCGAACGATTTTGTAAGCACAGAAAATGAAAAATGCAAATAGCGGATGAAGTGCATAGAAAATAACAGAAAAGTGTACAAAAAAGGCAAGTGCTTTTGTGGAAGATTTGTATGGTGGAGAATACGGAAATTAAGCAGCGAATACCAACCGAACAAGTTAACGAGCAATTGGCGCGTGCGAACAAACTTTAACTAATCAAATAATTTTATTTTACCCTGAATAACGCCGTTGTATTGTATCAGAAACGAAGTTATGTGTATAAACATTTGTATTGAATAAGAATTGTATTAATCTAGTTGGAAACAGACAGCTATTAAGGAGGCCAATTAAATGCGCCGACGTCCGTTGCATTCATCCCATCGTGGAGATTACCAAGTGTGAGGGCGTAAGGTCGACACCATCATTGTAGATGCCGCGGCTATTGTAGCGTCATCAATTCAATTGAAATTAAACTGTGCTGGTGCAGTTGTATTGCCACTGCAACAAAAGTACAATTCTAGCAGGATAACTGATGGAAGCACGAAAGGCAAAAGAGCTACGAGTGCGAGTGCGACGTATCAAAGTGAACTCTTCCACCTGCAGCCCAACCACTGCCCCGATTGCTTATGGCACTTCAACGTCAAGCCAGCCAACAGCTATTGACGGAATGGAAACAGAAGCTCCTTCAACCAGCAAAAGTACGGTAGTGCCCTCAAACAGTTCCTCGCCATCAACTTCCGATGGTGATGATTTCGCTACCGTGCATTTTAAGCTGGCAGCCGCGTTGGAGGCTGCCGCCGCACATGCAACTGGCAGCGGGCCGGGTGCTCACCTACTCGACTGGCAAAGTATGAAATCGGCACTCATCGCTGAGGCAAACTCAACGTTAAAACTCAAGAGTTCTAGCGAACAGAAGTCGGATGATGATGGGGCCGAACCACGTGACTCCGATGCGGAACCCTTAGATTCTTTAGCCGCTGAAACGCAATTGGGCGGCGTGCTATTAAAACCGCGGCAAGATAGTGACAGCAGCAGTACAAGTTCCAGTGACGAGGACGACGACGTGCCTGAGATATTGCTGGTTTCACCAGAACCACATGCAGACACTATGGATGCGGATCGTTCAATGTTATTGTCGAAATTACCGTTTTCCGATCCGGGAGTTTCCGTGCTGGATGATAAAAACCCAACGGCAGCATTATCGAAGATACTCTCCTTACCGCCATTTGATCCGCATGCACCACATTTACAGGTGCAGCTGATTATCAAAAATGTTGTTTCTCTCGCGCAATTGAGCCAACGAGAAGACAATGTTATTGAGTTGGACATTAAGAAGAGCCTTATTGCGGAGTTTGCTATCAGCAAAAAACATCGCACACTCAGTCCATTTATGGTATGATGAACATAATACTTAATTGTAAATATTTAAAAATTAATTGGTTGCAACTATTACTATAGGATGTATCAAACATACATGTAAAACATAGTAACGATGAGTTCTTTACATTTTGCTCATGCAAAAATTGTCTGAAGTATCGTGAAATTGTTATACATATTATGGTAGAGCAATTCAAAACGGCGCATATGGTGGTCATGTTGCTGGATGTTTTAATTAAGGCGTACGGGCCAATGCTAAAGTAAGTGCATGCTTTGCTGCTTTAAAGACCTTCGAACGTTCTAATAGATATGTTTTAAAATCAAATACCAAAATCTATAAGATCAGTTTTTAGTTAAATACGTACATACATATATATGTTTTATATTCGTAGAAACAGGACCGCTTACAATAAGTTTGAAAAACTATTGGACGCCAACAAAGAGATCTATTGGATAGCTTGTGGCTTTGTCTATAATAAAAAGGCTGAACATATGGATTTCATATATGACGACTCGCTATCAGACAATATGATTTTCGTACTATTTAGTTCCATGTAAGTAAACTGTCGTTGTTTGTTAATCTCTCAAATGAATACACGTTTTTTACTGTACTATTATTTCTTAATTCTTTCAGTCTTATGGTGAACAATCCTTTATTGTTGCTGCAAATATTAGCCTTTCACGTCGAGTGCATCGTTAAAGCATACGCGGAAGGCTTCATAGAAATTGTGGAACCTGACAACAATAAAATACCCGCAGAGGAAATGCTAACTTGTATGTTCATGTACATATGCCTGCCCAAAACCAGAAACTAAATTTTTTTTTTTTACATTTTTGCAGATATTTTGGACGGGTATGATGATTTATGCCGTATATCAGAACAGATTTCATGTTATTTGTTTGCATTTGAGAATGATTTTCTCCGCAAATTTAACTTAACATGGACACTGCTGTGTCAGCGTCTATATCAGCTTCATGTTTACTCTACTCTCACCGACACTATGCTGGCCTGTATCATAACTGTAAGTGCTTAACACCACAAGTTTTCAATTGTTTGCTTATTAGTTTATTTTGCTATTGATTTTTTCCTTCCAACACTTTAGCTGAAAGAGGATGAACTAACATCGCGCCATGCCGCACTTATAAAAAAATATATTCAATTCGATGACAAAATGACATGCGTTGAAAAGCGTTATACAGATGATATTTGGAACGAACTCAACAAATTTAATATGTCTGAAACGGAACGCAAGCGTCGAAAGTGTTTACTTAATGTGCATCGCATATTCGATACTGTCGTGCAGGACGCAATCGCTTTCTCGTTGCAGGAATTCGATGATGACAATGATTTCTATGATTTTCAATGCCTAGAAAATCGGCGCCTTGCCTGGCAAAATATAATGGCATACACGAAGATGAAATGGCCAGATGGATTTTTTAAGCCGCCTAATACATTGGTTTGCGAAGATAAGTGCAAGAAATGCAATGTGCTGTTGGAGTACCACCAAGAGTGAGCAAAGGGGCGATTTTGTGGAAATTATACAGATTATTTGAATAATGACAAAAATGTGTGGGGGTTTCATTATATATTTTTAAAATTTTTCGAAAGTATACTTTTTTTTTAATTTTGAAGAAAAAATTATTTTTAAGCATTTAAATTTACGACTTAATAGGAACTGCAAATGCATAACGTGTTCTATCGCTGGAGGCCCACTGACACCTCGACGATATTCGGATCAAATCTGCTACAAGTGTATGGCACAAGCCCTAATCGAAAAAGAAGTTAATCTGTACGAATCTAAAATTATAAATGCTTGCACAAGTGATGACTTTTTGACATATATCAAAACACGCGGCAAGCGAAAGGGTACGCTAGAAGAGTTGGGCGAAGAAGTTTGTGCTACCTTGCCAGCCATTAAGGGAAAAGTTGATGACACAATCGAGTTGGGTCAATATCATGTGGCATGGGCTGTTTTTCAACACTTTAATAGTAAGTTCTGAAAACAATTTTAAAATATTATCGCAATGATTTTAAATATGTATACACACAATTTGGTTTTGCAGATCGAAAACGTTATAAACATGCAACTATTGATGAAAAATATTTTTGCAAAGATTGCACGAGTCCGGCCTGTCTGTTAGCTCGCAAAATACTCAACAACGAAGTGGCGCATACTCTTTCTCTACATTTGGTGCAATACTATCAGCAGCTATCAATGAGTATCGAAGAACTTCGTGCTATACTGCCAAACATTATGTTCTACAATCGAAAAATGATTGCTTTCAACATTGGTTTTGATTTGACCGATGTACATGATCTTGTAGTAAAGATCTACTGGACATTCATTATTTCACTTTATGCGAGATATTTCATGGAGTTCGATCTTAAGTGTCCATTGAATTTAAACTACTTTGAGTTGTCAAGCAATGACATAAAGCTTTGCATGGATCAACTAGAAGGCAGCAAGGACGATACTAAATTCGTAAAATTTTTGGACAAAATTAAGAGGTGAGGACATGAAGGCATGATAATGGTTGGATTTAATCTTTATATTATTAAGTTTCACCATTTTTATTAAGCTTGAGGCCGTTTTCTATGAAAAATTGTGGGGGAAAAATAGTTTTATAAATTATTTATTTATATTATTAAAAGGTAATTTTTGTTTTATTTGCCCTCGTTGAAATAATTAAAACTATTTTCAAAATATTTTAAAGATTCGACTGACGCTCTGTGATTTTGCTGTATGAGCAGATTTCGCGGTGCGTTGAGATTTGTTGGGGAACTTCCAACAAATTTATTTATTGATTTATTTAGAGTCTATGATTATTACAATCTTACAGACTAGAATAACAAAAAAAAAAACTTAATAAACTGTAACATTAAGAGTAACATGTACACAAGGTTGTCTTAACGGCATCGCTTTATTTTAAATGATGCCAACATTCTTACTACGACTAAACAGGGGTGTATTTTTTAGTCTTGTTAGTCTACTTGTTTTTTATTATATTCCATTTATACTATGTTACAAAATTTGAAGACTATTTTGGCGTTTGAAAACTTTAAGGTACTGGGCTGATATAAACGATTTTTTTTTTAAGGGACGTTTATAAAATTTTAATTAAAAATATAAAATTTATTATTATTACTAGCAGACCCGGCGAACTTCCTCCCGCCTAAAATTTATTTATTTATTCAAAAATTTGGTGCAATGTTTTCACCACAATTCACACTCATGTTTGGTTTTGTGGTCGTCAGAAAGGATATCCTGCATTGCCGTCTTAAATAACCTAACGAAAGCGTTATGTCTGTAAAGAAGTTCTTGCGACAACAATGATCCGGCTCGATGTTGAATCGTCCTTGAATCTGTATAGAAAAGGTGGTGGCATTTTCAAAATGGCAGAACATCATTGGTCCACAGAAATCCAATATACATACATATACATTCTACAAGTTTTCAATCCAAGAATATTCTAGAAATGGGCGTGGCTTTATTAAAACCAAAGGTCTTAAATTTAGACTTTATTGTGGATTTCGCCAGAATATCTATATGGATTGAAAAAGTTGTGGAACAAATGTTGTTAACGAAGCGATATTCTGTCGAAAACCGTAATAAAATTCGCGTTTTGCTAACTTTAGTCCTGCAATTGCCACGCCCATTTCTAGGGGTTTGTCGCCTTACACGAAAATCTTGCAGTACAAATATTATTTCTGGATAGGTATTCTATCGGAATCCGCAATAAAATTTTACTGTTTGCAAAAACTTGATGTTTAACATCTTACTACATATATCTCATCATAAGTTTTCGATAATAAATTACTAAAAATTATTGATTCTCACAAAATAAACCATCTCGTCATAAAGAAAAATATTTTAAAAATAGTTCTTGAAAAACCCCTCATTTTTTGGAACCACGTGTTTTATAGAGAATTAAACAAGGATTACGATGGTATAATTTTGAATCCTTAATTTACTGGCCTTCACTACGCAAATCAACTTCAAAAGGTTCAGCTGTTAATAGTTAAGTTAGCTTTAGGACAATCTTGACTATATTATATATAGAAATGTTAAGCCCGTTTCTTTAGCTTTAAAACGACGTGAAGATGAAGTCTGTACGATGAGCAGAACCCGAGATATAACGATTTGAAGAAGTACATGTTTAGTCAGAATCACGAAAAAATGCAAATTTTGACAGATCATATCTCATATTTATCTCCGAAGAAAAAAGATTTAAAAAAATTTCCTCGAACACGTGTTAGCTTATTTTATGTATAGAACCCATACAAACAATTTGAAGCCAATCGAAAGAGTGACACGAAATTTGGTGTCCGATATGAAAAAAATGTCTTAATGCGGTTTTGCATTTTGTTGATACGCGGTTTTGTACTTTAAATGACGATAAACAATTCCCAAAAATCATCGCGAATTTTTAGACATTTTAAATTTGCACATTGCTATATAGTAGTCTAGGTCTCAATGCCCTCTAGTAAGTGGATTTACTTACGCCTTTGACAGATCTACGCTACTAGGACTGCTCTTTCAGAGGCGGTTTCGGTTTATGTCACGTGCTATCTGAGTGTTTATGGCGTTAAGGGCTGTTGTGCTGTGCACTTTACGAAACCCATGCACGGGTACCTGAACCTCACCACTGGAGGGGGCCACTAGGTGTTGGCAGTTTCTACGGCCTTCTGGTCACTCGACGTTCGGCTTTGTCTGCCGGAGAATGCAGCGTAAACTGTCGGCTAAAGTAGATCGCGCATCGCACCGGGTCCGACGAGGCGCCGTAGCCGAAAGAGATTTCATCTCCTTCGTCACGCTTCGTCGGGCTGGAAAATGACCTCACGGTTGACCAAAACTTGCTCACATCAGAGATGAAGTTAAAAGTCCACTTCTTCCGATTATGTACGGTCACTAGTTTCTGACTCCGTATTGAGACCCCTAATGCGAGGATTTCCGGGATCGGTCTGACGAAGGTTATCAGTAAGGACAGCCGCTTCGGCAGGAAGATTCTGACGGGGGTTCGAAATACACCCGGATGAGATGAAGCGGGCTGCAGCAGAGACAACCCTGCGAAACTTTCGCTTACCTACGTGGACGTCGGTTTGTGTGGGGAGGCAGAGAAGGTTCTTTCAGTAACTCCGCGAAGCCGTTTCAATCAGCTTTCGAAAAGTTTATATAGTTTCGTTGTTCCGCGGAAGCAAAGACGGCAGGTTTATCAATAGAGATGACTGGGCAGATGGTTTGATGCTAAGGACAGCTTAGGTCGCCATGTTATAATGTTTATCAGGTGAACACTTGTGATTTTTATGTCAGGTGAGCTGCGGCGGACGCCCATAATCCTCGAGGGTACGTCAGCGTTCATTGTGCAGAATGTCGAATCGTCTGTCTGCTCAGTCAAGTAAAACCACCAACTACCACACGGTTTTCACCTCTGAGGAGTACACCTGTTTCAGGGTGATATCCTGCCGGGCAGCTAGTATGGTATTAATGCGGTCGACGTCTGCTTTGATAAGACGATACCGCACGATGTGATGCGTGATGAGCGCTAGGCCACGACAATTATCTCGCTCGCGATCGCGACGGTTCACTTTGTATCCGGCGCAATTAAACAGCGTTCAATCGCTGTGCAACTTCGTCTCTTGGACCGCAGCTATTAATATTACATGCCGACCCATAAAAACTTACTCTGTAGTCCAGTTGAATTGCAAAATCTGCGTGTAACTAGGGTGACAGTGAGGCGTGTTATCTGTCTGCTATTTGCTCTGTTTGCTGCTGTGGAGGGTGCTGCACTGTGGTGGTGGTGGGAGGCGTTGCAGTAGGGACTTGCGATCGAGCAGTACAGCAAGGGCCCTCGAAGTTCCTCGTCCAGTCACGCGAGACCAACCAAGGCAGATTTTGCACTTGACTGATGTTACGTTACGGAATATCCTGATCTGACCAGGATTTGTTGGCGGCGTCATGTGGACTCTGGTGTGCCGTCGAGACCCCTAACGGGGTTAGATAGCCGAAACAACAGCCCTTGGTCGGGTAATACGTCATTCCGACACGTAGAACCGGCTGTCGTGGGAATGGGCGTCAGTGGTGTTTCGGTTAGGCTGAAAGGCGACTTGGCAGCGATCAATGAGATGAAGCGAATTTGAAAACCAGGCAATACGATTACATATAATACGTTGCAGAATTTTGGAAAGACAAGATATGAAGTAACGATATTGAGGACAGGAGCCACTTATTTGCTCTGGGTATGGCAATTATGGTGGCGATTTTCCAGTTTTGTGGGATAACAACCGAGTCTAGAATAGAGTTATATAAAGATAATAGACGAGCTTTGGCAGAGTTTGATAAGCATTTAATCATCTTAAAGGAGATGCGGTCGAAGCCAGGGGTTTCACCTTGAGCCTTACCGACGCGCATGGTTAATTCTATACTGCTTATAGGCATACCTTTTGGATGCGAGTCTGGGAGCGTTATGATTAGTTCGTAAATGGAATTTTTGGAACATCTAGAACTGTTGAAGAAATTAGAGTCGGATGAATGACTAGACCAGTAAGCAGTAAAGTAGTTGGCAACTATTTTTGGATCTGATAAGGTAATGGTTGTTTTTGATAGTAAAAGGTGGTTTTGAAATGTTTGTTCCAAATTGTGGCGACTGAGAGGTTTGAATTAATGGAAGCGGTAAATTTAGTAAAGCTGCACCTTTTTTTCTAATTTCATCTCTATCCTAATAGGTTTCCCTTCAAAAATTCTTAATTTTTATTAAGCTTATATTAAAAAGACATTTTAATCGTTTGGAAACCTATTGAAATATTGCTTTAAAAAGAAAATGGGCTAACTCCAGATAAGTTTTTTACCAAAATGCCATAGTTATATAAATTTAATGTTATTATAGAATGCAAATTATATAGATTGATTATTATATTAATCATTTTTCATTTTATTTATCCACAGTTTGTCGCCGTTCAAAAGCCAAGTTGAATCTGAGTGAGTAATATATGGTTTCTGTCCTGTTTGACTCAAGTGTAAATTTTTTTTATTTCAGTTTTGCGTTTACTGTTGATATTCATACTGAAGAGATTCAAAAGAAGTTGGATGAGCTTCTCAATTTCGAAGATAACCAAAGGTATGTACTTTTATATAAACTGATATAACAAAATACATATTTAAGTTTGGGATAAAATAGTTTATATTGTTGCAGCAGTCCGCCATTAAATGAGCAGGTCGCACCACCCGTTAGCAATATCGAGCCAGCGACTGTGGTTGAAGATCATCCCAAAAAGAATTGCAAAGAAAAATTAAAGAAATGTATATTAAATAAATTTGTGTAAATGTTTCGATGTTTATTTTAGTATATTTTTCTAGGTTGTTTCGA